CCTGTGCGCCGCCTCCTTCAAGCGCCGCTCGGACTTCAAGAGCCACCGGTTGGTGCACACGGAGGAGCGGCCGTTCCGCTGCGAGCTGTGCGGGAAGCGCTTCAAGCGCTCCTCCAACCTCCAGGAGCACCGGCGCATCCACACGGGCGAGCGGCCCTTCGGCTGCGCCTGCTGCGCCAAGAGCTTCAAGACGCCCTACGAGCTGCAGCGGCACGCGCTCACGCACTGCACCGAGAAGCCCTTCAAGTGCGCCGACTGCGGCAAGGACTTCCCCACGTCCAACGCGCTGCTGCTGCACCAGCGGCAGCACTGCGACGACAAGCCCCACGTGTGTGGCGTGTGCGGCAAGAAGTTCACCTACGGCCACAGCCTCAAGGTGCACGAGCGCGTGCACACGGGCGAGCGCCCCTTCGTGTGCAAGACGTGCGGGAAGGCCTTCAAGCAGTCGTCCTACCTGGTGATCCACGAGCGGGCGCACACGGGCGAGCGGCCCTACAAGTGCGACGCGTGCGGCAAGGCCTTCGCCCGGCCCTCGCTGCTGCTGCAGCACCACCGCGTGCACAGCCAGGAGCGCCCCTACAAGTGCAGCTTCTGCCACAAGTTCTTCAAGGACCTGGCCTACCTGGCGGTGCACGAGAAGGTGCACACGGGCGAGACGCCCTACAAGTGCAGCGTGTGCGACAAGGGCTTCGCGCACCCCTCCAACCTGCTGCAGCACCAGCGCGTGCACCGCGACGGATGAGCCCCGCCGGTGCCACCCGCATGCCGGGCACCACCCGGTGCCCTTCAAAGACTTGTGTGGACTTGGACCATGGGGAAGGCCAAGGGCTCCTCCACACTCTGCCCCCGTAACCGGTTGGGGGATCCCGGTTGTCCCAGTGGATATTGGCCTGCCCAGGAGCCTCCGTGAGCGTCCCATCCACATGTCACCCTGCTCCTTCCAATCGGGCCGAGTCCAGCAGTGTCCCCTGCTGCGCAGGGGCCGCGAGGACCTTCTGCTCGTTGGGCAGTGGGTCCCCCAGGACAGGGAGCCGAGGCCGGTTACGTTGGTGCAACGTGGTACACTCGGCCGCAGAGCAGCCCTAGAGGAAGGAGCCTGGCGCGTCGACGGTCGCTGTCGCGTTGACAGTCAACGTTGACAGTCGCTGTCGCGTTGACAGTCACTGTAGCGTTGACGGTCACCATTCGACGTTGATGGTTGCTGTCACGTTGACGGTCAATGTTGACGGTCACTGTCGCGTTAATGGTCACTGTCGCGTTGATAGTCACTGTCAACATTGCTGGTTGCTGTCGCATTCACAGTCACTGTCACCTTGACAGTCGACACTGACAGTCGCTGTCAACGTTGACGGTAGCTGTCACGTTGACAGTCAACGTTGATGGTCTCTGTCATGTTGACTGTCAACGCGACAGTCACTGTCACGTTGACAGTCAACGTTGACAGTCCCTGTCGCATTGACAGCCGCTGTCTCGTTGACAATGAACATTGACGGTCGCTGTCACATTGACAGTCACTGCCACGTTGATGGTCACTAAACATTGTCGGTCACTGTCACGTTGACAGTCGCTGTCGCATTGACAGTTACTGTCGCGTTGACAGTCAACGTTGATGGTCACTGCCGCGTTGACAGTCACTGTCGCGTTGACCGTCAACGCAACAGTTGCCTCGCCATCACATTGACAGTCATCATTGACAGTCACTGTCAATGTTGACAGTCACTGTAAACATTCTCGGTCGCTGTCGCGTTGCCGGTCGCTGTCGCATTGACGGTCACTGTTGCGTTGACGGTCACTGTTGCGTTGCCGGTTGCTGTCGTGTTGCCGGTCGCTCTCGCGTTGACAGCCCCGTGCCACCGCGCTGCTCACAAACACTAACCTCTTTTGTGCTGCTGTCGGGAGCGGAGCGCGGGGACGTCCCCACCGAGGCCATCGCTGGCCGCGGGGCGAGCGAGCCGGCGCCGTCACCTCTGCCCCTTCCCCCTTCCTGCAGGGCCGGAGCATCTGCCGGAGCTGCCGGAGCCCGGATCCGGCCTTGCGCTGCTCCCGGGT